TCTACTGTTTTTTTCTACATAATTACGATTAGCTTAAACCCTTAAACAACACGGTATGATTATTACAAAAGGTCAAAGGGATGAAATTATCGATGAGGGAAATAGGGTGTTTACAGGTTTCATGATAGTCTACATTTTCCGCAGGGATCTAGAGACTAACTATGCAAAATTTGGTCTAGATCAAAGAGTTTAGGAATCAACAGGGAATGTGCACACAGACATTCTAGTTTATTTTTACATTACGATTAATTCAAAAAATTTACTCAACTGATCGAAGAAGATTTAAATATGTAACAGACATCCTAACAATCTAAAATAAATGCATACGTAGTTATTAATTGTTCTTTCTTCCCGTAAGAATTAACTTCTTTGTTACTAGTCAGACTAGTAGATAATTTAAAAAAGTATTTATGTTACTTACACTGCTGAATGTTCTAAGAGATAGATCAATAAAATTTCCTGCTTTAAGTTTTAATGGAGTTATAGAAATGGCTATGAGTAAAATCAATGATCGCGCTTTTGTATCCGGAAGATGATGCCATTCCAAAGTACATGCTGTTAATGCGACTTTGTCTCCCTAATTTTTATTAATTAAATACAAGCGTCAGCAATGCAAACAAAAAAAAATAACGTTTCGCTAATATTCCGCTTCATTACGGTTATTGTGTGTCTCCGACGGTGAATAACAATCAACATACCTGATCGATGACTTGCTCGCCCATGTAGCAATATATAAATACGTTGAAACAGAGCATTATTAGCGCAATAAAAAATGCGACCAGTCGAACAATATTATGATTTTCCCATTCCTGTAAATACAACAATTTTATGAATCTTTTTATAGAACGCAACATCACAACACGGAGTACATTGCCACATCATGTTTATCAAAATTTGTATTTTCCTTAAAACTGATCGTTACATATTCTCCGCACCATGATCACGTAATATCCTACTAGGCATAGCATGAAAGTAGACCCCAGGACTTCTATTAAACTCGGATACTGAATGGTACTCTGCACCAATTGTAAGAAACTAAAATGTATGACGAGAAAACTATAAAAATCGTGTTTAACAAAAATCACTAGTTGCTAATCCAAAATTTCTTCAATAATTGATGACACGTTACCCATTTTGCGTAGAACCTATCGCGTATAAGCTCTGACATAGTCTCTAGTGAAGTTAGAATTATATTAAAGAATCAGCGAATAGACCTCATTATTGTACGCAAGAAAGAACTCACTTCCTTGTTTTAATT